ACATTACAGGGGTATTTCTTTGCCATCATTGGAATTTAGGATTGAACTAATATTTACTCTATTAATGACCAATTCCGAGTGGTAAACTGTATAGCTTCGGTTGAAGTGGAAATTTCCCAAAAGATTTTAGAGAAGCAATATCTATATCGGAGTCTAAGAGAAAGGTCATATTATGCATTACCAGGGCTAGTTCAATGGCGGAATTGACAAGATATAAAGATAACAAATAATATTTATTGATCATTTACTGTGTGTCAGACACTAGATCCACACATTTATTAACTCGGTTCACACAACACTACATCTTATATACTATTTTTATCTCCATTTTACATTGGGAACAGAGGTTTAAAGTGGTCAAAAATCATAAAACTTGTAAACAGCAGCATCAAGATTTGAATCTAAGTCTGTTTTCTAATCCCTTACACTATATCACCTTCATAATATTTATTATATGGACTCAACTTCTGATAATTACTAGAAGGAGGTGTCCAAGGAAAGAAGAAGGCACCATTTAAGAAGTATGATTAGAGCTGCAAAAATATTAAGTTTCATTTATTCAGACTCATCTGTCCTTCCTCTGAGGAACTATCTTCTATTCATTTCACTCATGTAAAAATCAAATAAATTATTATAGATGAAAGAATATATTCCATTTCTATAAATAGAAAAAACTCACATCACCCATAAAATCTATTGCAAAAATTACAGCATAAAGAACATCATTAAAAATTTTGTTTTATCAGAGGGTTGGGGTTATAGGGAATGGGGATGTAGACTGGGTTAAGGGGGTCAAATATGTGGTAACAGAAAGAAATCTAACTATGAGAGGTGAACACACAGTGTAAATATATATATGTCTTATTGTTAAAGTGTACAGCTGAAACTAATTGGATTTCATGAACCAATGTCACCATTAAAAATCGATAAATAAATAAATAAATAAATAAATTTTAAAAAAATTTGTTTTCTTTTATTTCTTATCTGTCCCCTTCCCCTTTCAAGGAACTCTATGAATTCCTTCCACCTACTTATAAATCTGAACACCCTCTAAAACATATTTTTGTACTGTCTCTCCCTCCCTCCCTTTCTCTCTCTCTCAAAAATTTGCTCATTTTATCAAGACCTGTCCAGTTTAAGATTATTTTTTAGTTCATAATCTGCACAAACTCCTATACTTTAGCCATTGTACTCTGTGCATATTGACTTCTACATTACATACTGTTTCGGACAAAAACTTTTACACAAAGGAAATAGAAAGTTCAATTTAGTTTCTAATTTCCAACTCTTCCTTCATTTTAATTTTAATTCAACCTTCTTTTTTACCTCTGAGCTTCCAACTAAGTTGCAATTTAAGATGAAAAATAGACCTAAAAAAAATAAAGCATCTTACACCAATAATTGAATAAGCAAAGTTTTGCAGAGCATAGAGGCAGAGAAGATAGTGAAGTAATTAAAAATAATAATAATAATAAATAATAATAATAGTAAACGCTATTGACCTTACTGGGTGTTCAGCCACTTTAATATGAAATAACATTTAATTCACAAGACAAACTCATGAGGAAGGCTACCAGTACCGTATTCATTTAAAAGAAAAAGAAATTGAGACACAGTAACTTCTCAAACTTATTCAAGTGGTCACTAAACACAATATTTAAACAGGAACAGTTTGGTTCTAAAGTCAGTTTGCTTAACCACCATACTATGCTGCCTCTCATATTTCATTTATTGAATTAGCATTATCAACAAATAATATTACTTAACAATCTTACAAATGAGTGTGCTATTAGAAACTTCTCGATTTCATCAAAACATGGCCCTAAGTATTTGATTGTTTATTATGAAAATTGCATATGCTTAGATCTAGAAATTCAAACAGATTGCAAGATTTGCCTATATCTGAATTTTTAAATAAAATTTATATTAGAACATTATTTTTTGTTACAGTTTTAATGTAAAGAAGTTTTTAACTTTAAAAAAATTAGCATAGAACGTTGAACCTTAATTCATTTTACCTTGTTTCCTTAATTTAAACAATGATACAATGACTTAGACTACTAATGCATATTTAACCAGTATGAAATGGGTAAATTGTGTGCAAAGAAAAGAATACAGTAGTCTCCTCTTATCCGAAGGAGATATGTTCCAAGACCCCTGGGGGTTGCCTGAAATAGCAGATAGCACCAAACCCAGTATGTGCTGTTTTTCCCTATACATACATACCTATAATAAAGCTTCATTTATAAATTAGGCACAGTAAGAGATTAACAACAATGACTAATAACAAAATAGAATAGTTATAACAACATATTGTAATAAAGTTATGTGAATGTGATCTTTCTCAAATATATCATACTATACTCACCTCTTCACTTACAGGAACTACTTTACAGCTTCTCTTGGGCATATCTAAATTGCCAGCATTATCACTCTTGAGCTTTAAGGCCATTATTAAGTAAAATAAGGGTTACTTGAACACAAGCACTGGTACCGGCAGTCGATCTGATAACCAAGATGGCTACTGAGTGACTACAGTGCAGGGATCATACACAGCACAGACGCTCTGGACAAAGAGATGATTCACAACCAGGGCAGCATGGATCTGGATGGCGCAAGATTTCACTGCAGCACTCAGAATGGTGCACAGCTTACAACTTATTTATCATTTATTTCTGAAATTTTCCATTGAACATTTTTGGACCATAGTTGACAATGGGTAACTGAAACCGCAGAGAGTAAAAATGAGGATAAAGGGGTACACTACTGTACATAAAGAATTCATAAAGCAAAAATCCTAACCAGAATTTATTCATCATCCAATATTAACTGAGTATCTAATATGTTCATACAGCACCACAGAGGACTGGTAAGAAGAAAATTACCTTATCCTTGAGGATTTCTCAGTCAAAGAGCTATGGGGACCAAGAAAGTAGAGCATTATTTTTTGCTGAGTGAGTGTGAAAATGTCCAGAAAAGCCTTGTAGGGGAGGGAAAAACTTTCCTCTATCCTCAAGTTTCTTTCAGCTGGTCTAATAATTAAACCTACATGAGACAGACTAACAAAAGAAAATAACCAAATTTAATTACATACATCTACATGGGAACCCCACATACGTGAGAGAGTTAGAGACCCCACATACATGAGAGATTCAGAGACAGAAAAGGAAAATGGTATTTATGGCATTCTGAGCTAAGGATGTGGTAAGTAAAGCATCTTGGGGCTTCAGAGGGTCATTGCAGGATGACAAGAGCAGATGTTCAGTAATTAGTACTTTGCTCTGCCATATAGATAGGTCAAGAAAGGCTATCTCTGGCAATCTCTTATTATTATGGGCAAGGCCTCTACATCAACTTCTTCTAAGTAGTTAAGGGGGAGAGGACAGAAGTTTCTCTTGAGCCTACTGGTCTCAGTTACCTTTAGCACAAAAAAATCTGCATACTACAGATGCATATCTTGGAATGATTCGTCCTGAACCCCTACAGCCTTCACAGAGAGTCACACTGAAAAAAAATGCGACCGACCCGGTCAGAAACTGGAATTAGCAAGTAGAGAATATTCCCGTCAGAGGAAATGCATGGAAAGACCTGGCTTGTTCAGGGAATAACCAGAGTCTCAATTCACAGAGGCAAGAAATTGGCTGGACAGACTATAACCTGACTTGGTTACTACGGTTAGAAATTTGGACTTATGAAAGAACTCACTGAATGCATGTAACCAGGGAGGAGACATGCCCAACCTATTTTAGAAGATTCACTATGACATCAGTGTGTCTGATGGATTTAAGAGAGAAGATAGCCGAGTCAGAGACCAGGAGGGAGGTAACTGCAGTAGTTTAGCTGAGAGGCAATAAGGGTCTGAGTCAGGGAGGTAGTAGTTTAGAGAAATATAATGGCAAGATGGCTGGCCATAGCTTCTCTCTTCCTCTTACCAGTTCCCCTGCATGGTGAAAAAGGAGGGTGTCTTACAGACCACTGGATACTGTGCCAAATTCCCTTTAGATGAGTATGCCCCTAAAGTCATTTGTGGTCAATTTATACCAGAATTTAAGATGAAACAGCTGAAAATCTACCAATTACAAGTCTATAGTTCATTTCACTAATGGGAAATAAATTAAGCAATAACAAATAACAGAAACTAAATGTTGACCACATTCAATCGGGAGATAAAATCACTATTGAAAAATGGAGTTAACTTTATGCTCACAATTATATAAATATGCGTAGTAACACAGGAAATCTACACTGTGTAAGTATTTAGCCACCTTGTTCCTTGTTCACCATTCTTAAATCTACTTTAAGATCCATTTTATAACCAAGGAGCAGGAGTACATGTAATGTGCAACAACTCAAAGTCTTTTTACTTCATGTGGCATGTAATCCACCTGGTTTAAAGTTAAATTCTCCATTAAATTTTACAAACCTTACAAACTTTTAATATTCCAAGTAAAGTTTACCAAATACAGAATACCTTGATTATTTTTAGCACAAATTTTTTTCGCTGGAGATTTAAAAACTTATCTCACCCTAAGGTTTAAATACTACGAAGTTTTTTTTCTTCAGTCAGAGCCAACATGCTACTTTAACCAGTAAAACCTCATGGAATTCTATCTTGTAGTATCTGGCACTTTTCCTTGAATTAGTTACAGCACTACTTCCTTTTGCAAATGTTTAGACATTCCCATGTTTCAGTCTTGCATTGAATACAGTTTTTCGAACAACGACATTATCTCAATATTCTATATAATGTTTAATTAAGTAAAATAATACTGTACATTTAAATATTATTTTTCTAAAATCCCAATATTTACTCAAAGTTTATAAACTATTATAAACTATTGTAATGAAATATGCTCTACAAATATAAACATATTTAAACATATCATAATCAGCTGGATAAATGGATATGTATTTTTAATTCACTGACCCCTTAGTTCTACCCTTTTTCATATTATTACTATTATAGAGATTGCAAAAACACATTTAATATAGACACTAAATACTGTTGTTATAGAATATTTTTATTTAAGTAGGAAATCATCACTGGTTTATAAAGAGGAAGATACCCTTTACCAACTGCAGCCTGCTACCATGGGCAAAGACAAGGTCTTAAGCTTGATCCAGGCCAGCAGCAATAAGAGATCCCAGTTTGGGGCTTACAACAGTGTGACTTCTCCTCCCCTCTCTGCTTGTTCTTATCACCTTGTTCACTGTGTCATCTGCTGTATCCTGATGCAGAGATCCTGAGTCACAAATTTGCCTTTTCTTCGCCTAGTTTTGACGAATAACCCCATTCTCTGGTCTTTACAGGTCACCTCGCTTTTACCTTTGGAAAATGAATAAATAAATAAAGTACCCTTTGGGGAAAACCCATCATATTTTAAGAATGTTTTCTATTATTTTCAAGTGCAGCTGTATCCAAAGTTATAAATCTCAAAGCAATAAAGTAAGTAATACAATTAAATCTTACTTGGGTAAGGACTGAGAGAGGCATCTTTTTTCTAGACTTTTAATAGAATTTTACATCTCTAAGTCAGGAATGTTCAGCTACGGTGAGCTACCAGAAAGAACATACAAGAACATGTTTGTACATGGCTGTGTGTGTACATATACATCCTTATCCCTTAAAATGAGCAGCTACATGAATGAGAATTTACATAAAGGTGTATTGTGTTGTGTTGTTCAGAATCTTCAGTGTCTTTCTATTAGAATTAAAACAATAATAATATAGTGCTTATTTCAGTTTATTTGTGTTCAAATAAAAGTTCATGAGAAGCTCAAGTACCTGCTAGCTTTATGAACTCCACAACCTAATAGGTTTTACAAGCTACCGACAAGTGAATCAAAAGCAGATGCAAGCAGAAGGCTTTCAGGATAATTTCATTTTTGCCATCACTTTTCCTTCCTGCTTGTCCACGAAGCTCTGGTACAGACTAAGAAGGTGGCATAGGTATCATTGCTAAGAAGTTTGCTTCCATTTCTGCATGTTCATTTGACATAGTCATAATAATGAGTTAGTATTTCGAATTTATTGTCAAAATCTTAAACTAATTACAGTACGTTAAAGATACTTGTTGGTATTTCTTCTGGGTACCAACAGATTGCGTGTAGAAACTGTATCTTATTCATCTTTATCCTAGAATTATAGCACAATGCCTACTATGTAATAGATAATCAATACATATATTTGTTAAATGAATAATAGCTTGAAAAAAATTACTGAAGAGGAAACATAAATATTGACAAGCAGCTAATCAATGTTATGAATGACCTGTAATAAATCTATAAACTCAGAGATAGAGTACAAGTCACTCTATATGTTTTACACACCTGACATAACTACTAATCTTTATGTGGAAGCTAGAAAGAGAGGTGTGAAGACAGTAAGAAAAACAATAACTATCTCGAGATCTCCAGGTTGACTTGAAACGCCAAAAAAGTTCTCAAAATCAAAGACTTTCTATAGCTTTTCTCAAGCTCTCACCAAAGCATGAGCCAGAAAAAACAGCCTTTTCCAAAAGGAGAGATAATTCCACACAAGGGAAACAGCAGCCAAAGCAGGCTTCACTTAGCAGCACACAGGCAAGACACAGGACACAAGGCAGACTTGCTGATGGCCTTCGAATACAGGAAATTTCTTGAACATGATATATAGCCATCTTCAAGTTTGAATATAATGAAAGAGTTGCCTCTGCACCCTTATATCAGTCTGTAAACTCAAGAATAGAGTCTCATCAGAGTGAGACCAGACTTGGGGGTGGGGCGGGGGAAGCTCGCTTCTGTTTATCACCCTCAGACAAGGACTGTAAGAGGCTCACCATGAGAACGCAAGTGGTCGTTCACTCTCACATTCGGTCACTGAGCTGAACAGAAAAATGTTTTCAATTATCTTCATCGCCTTGTTTTTCATTCAGCAGAGAACAGGTACTGAGAATCTCCCCAAGCAAACAGTCACTGAATTCTTTTAACGCAGGAAGGCTCAAGCACTTTATATTAAGAGCAGCAAATCAATCATGAAGTCAACCTCATGAAATATGTTTTCTAGTTAATGTGAGGAAATGTACAACATGACAAATGATTCACCAAGTATAATTATCTACAAGGCCTGCTTAGAAGAAAAACAAAAAACTACAAAATTGTTATTTAACTGGGTTTGTTTATGCTTTTCTGGTTTGTAACTAAAATTCACTTAATCATTAACTGTATTTTTCTATCATTAATCATGCTTCTTCTTTTCTTTTCTTTTATTAATGTCTAAATGAGACTTTTAAGTGATTAACTATAACCTTATACTCAGGCCAAATAGCAAAGCTCTACTTATGGTACACACATTTTTCTTCAAACAATATGCAAATATACTATGAATGTTTCAAAAAACACAAACTAGAGGTATAACGAAATTAAGGTATTAAAATAAAATTTTACATTTAAATGCATTTTTCATTTTAATAAATTTAATAAAAACTTTATATTAAATATAACTTTATGCTTAAATGCATCATTTTATAAATAATTTTTCCTCATCAGAAAGATTTTTTTTAATTATTCTAAAAAGTCACAAGCTCATCAAACTCATGTGGATTAAGATGGAAAAGGAAAACAACTTGTGGAACTAACATCTTTGAGATTCAGTTTAAAAAAAGTATTCACAGTAATTTCAACACTCTATAATAGAGAAAGGAAAAAATGCCACCCATCAAATTATGTAGAATTTCAGAAAACACATTCCAGTTCACCTTTGTCTGTAGGTATTGCTTTTGGTTTGATGCAACATAGTACCAGTTTGACGTTTGTGACATTTTCCCATGACCTACCTTCCCAAAGATAAATAGGCTAGTTCATCCTGTAACTTTCCTCAAAATCTTTCAGAAAAGCTTCTTAATAATCTGGAGGTTATAGCAGGGATGGTGGTCCAAATGACCTTCTAGACAAAGCCGAAGGTCAAATTAAACCTGATTTAAAGTCACAGGGAAAAGTAATTTTAGGGAAACTTCCCCAAGGCAATCCTTGCCATCTGTAGTTTCAGAATAATAAATGAAAGGAAGTGAGCAATTGGAGTGAAATGTACTAAAAGATGATAATCATTCGTCCTAGGTTAAAGCACTCCATTAATGTCTGGTTAAAATTTATAACGTATTGTTCCCAAGATTCTCAAAGAAACAGTCACAAATCAGTATTTCTGGCCACAGGTTTTGCAACCAAATTTCATGCTGCTGACTGATGGGTAATGGTAGTCAACTAATCACTGTATGGCTGTAGAGACTTTAGGAAGCCAACAAATTCTATAATTTATCATCAAGGATTGCCTTTTGATTATTTTGAGCCATACCTGTCTTCTTCTTGAAAAAAAAAAAATGTTTCTCAAATTTATTTCTCTCATAAAGAACTCTTCTCTGCTCTATCACTATATCAAATTCTTTCCGTGACTATTTTCCTCTCCCAAGTCTGTCATCTAGAATTCTCCAACTCCTCTCTCCTCACCTTCTCAGCCAGACTGCTGGACAGCATCATCTATACTTGCCATCATTTCCTTACCTCCCTGAAGGTCCTCACCCATACTGAGATCTATCTTCTTGGACCACAACAATAGCAAACAAGTCCTTGTTGATGGCAAAAGTCACTAACTCTAATTAACAACTTTCAGTCCTGATCTTCCTCAGCTCTCTTTGCATGGTTTCTGGACAGTGCATCCCCATGGCTTTCAGAAAAGCATAGAGAAAGAGCCCACAGACTCTGCCAGAGCACCTAGATTTAAATCAGCTCTGCCATATACTGGTAGTGTGATTGTATGTAAGCCACTTAACCTCTCCAAGATTCACATATTTTTCATCTGCAAAATTAGGAGTAACATTAGCACCAACCTCTTTTGAGAGAATTAAATTTATTTAATATATGTAAAAACATATAAAACAGTCATGGGTACAAAGTAAGCATCATATGCATTTTAGCTTTTATCATGTTTATTATTATTTTCCTCCTACTTCTCTGGTCACTCCTTTTTTTGTGTGTGTTGATCGACAAGGTTTTTTTCCAGAGTTTCTTCCCTAAGCTAGTGTCCTTACTTGATGATGAGGCCTAAACATAATTTCCAGCCCACCCCAATTTCTTAAACTTAAAATATACATATGCAACTGCCTACTGGTATCTCGAATTCCACATGTTCACAGTTGAATTCATCTTTCTTCCAAGCCTGTTCCTCCTCCAGTGTTCCTTTTCTCTAAAATTGCAACCACCACCTACCAGTCATCCAAGCCAGAAATCAGGAATCACGTCTGACTCTGTCATTCCCCTCATCTGCCAAATGCAAACTAGTCTCGCAAATTCTGCCTACTTCCTGAATATCCCTTGAACATCTCTGCTTCTCTTCTAACTCTGCAATAGCTAGTCCAGGCCACCATTATGCCTCTCCTGGACCACTGCAACAGCCTCCTTGTCTCTTCATCATCATTTGTTACCTTCCTTTAAGCATTTTCTAAGGAGCAAAGAAAACATTCTTCTAATACTCAAATCTGATTGTGTTCCAACTTTTTGCTTAAAACTTCCATGTTATATTGAATAAGGCATACAAAGCTCTTCATTATGTAACTGGCCTCTGCATACTTCTTATGCCTCGTTTATTATCCTTCTTTCTCTTGCTCAACTTGCAGCTCTTCAAATCTCTGTCTCTTCTGGACCCTCACAGATGCTGTTTCCTCAGTCTGGAATATTCTCCCACTCCACCAACCTACCTCCTTCATCCAGCCAATTCCTATCCAACTGTCTTTATTCTCTTACACCTAAACTATATTCAGTACCTTTGCCATATGTTCACAAAAAATACTATAGCCCAGCTGATAATAATATTTCTCATATTTTATTATATAAAGTTAACATACAAATAAATTATATAAATACAAACTGTGATACATGCTATGAAGTAAAATGTCTGTTTCCTTCACCATGTTATAATCCCATAAGGACCTTTCCTGAGCTCAATGTCTAGAATAATAGACACTCAAAATACATGTACTACATGTAATATTTCTTTTTTTTCCTAGGAAAAAAAAGAAATATTACATGTAGTACATGTATTTTGAGTGTCTATTATATAAATTTATATAAATCCATAGGAAAAAAAAGAAATATTACCAATTCTAACAGTAAAGTAGAAGGAAAGAGGAAGAGAGCAAGACAATCTAACTTCTTACCTGTATTTACCTTTAGATCCTCTGAGGGTCTTAGAAGTCAACACCCACTTCCCATACCTCAACCTTACACCTCCAGGGCCATCTCCATAGCTTTGATGAAGTAAAAGGTAATTCATAAAATGCCTTTGGATAACCCCTGATATATGTTTTAATTTGGCCAGCAGATATAAATAATTTGTTGTACATGTTACACTGGGCAAAGCATTGAATTGTATTCAAATTAAAAGACCATAAAGCTCTTAGAAGCTTAAATGTAAATTAAATGCCATTGATATCAAACATATACAAAATATTAGTATATAAACACTATGTAAAAATGATGTTTAAAATTTAAAATCTATCTATAACAATTCTGCCTTAGAATGTAAGGTAATAAATGACAACCAGATAATGCTGCTACAGACAGAAGTGACAAGAAAAAATAAGTTGTTTTTTAAAAATATTTTTGCTTTTTATTCTTACTCTCTTTCTCACCCTCCTCTTCTTCCATTTATTTCTTTCTCTCTCTCACTCTCTTTCCCCCTCCACAATTGATAATACATTACATTACTCAAATAATGTCAAAGATGCCACCCTAAATTGCAAATTAGTCAAAAGAAATTAAACTAGAATCAAGAGATTTTCTAACATAAAAAAGCTGATTTGTGTTGAAATTGGTATAAGATCAAATAATAAATGAATGAATTAGTAAACGCCATACAATAACCTTTAGAAAGCAACTAGAACATGAAATTACTTCTATAACTTAATGTCAGACAATTCCTAAAAAAAAAAAAAAAAAAAAGGAAGAATCAATTTCATAGGAAAGACATAATTTTTTATAATTTTAAAATTGTTTTCTTGTTAATTAGTAGTACATGTATTTTGGGAAACCTAAACCATTGTGGCTAACTAGAAGTTCATCTTAACTATTTAAGACCTGGTCTTAAATATTTTAACTTAAGTTTGACAAGCTTACTTTCTCCTATCAGTGATTCTTGAGACTTGTTTGGAGGTTCTATTAACCATTTAGGCCTACCCACAGATCCTTGAACAGAGGGTCTTATCCAGAAAGATTAGATTTAGAGCCCTTATCCAGGAAGTGCTTCCACTTTCATCAAGTATATAGCTTTGCAAGGGACAAATATGAAATCGTGACGAGAGGAGAAACACATGCCTATGAGGACATAGCCGATAAGGAATTTGGCTCTATGACTTTCCAGGGAGGCCTTTTTGGTCACTTATCTAAAATTGTAACCCTCCACTACACTTCCTAATCCATTTTTCTGCTTTAATATTTTCCTTGACTATTTGCACCATCTAATACACATTTTATTTCTTCATCTGATTTTATTTTCTGTCTCTTAAACCAGAACATAAGCTCATGAAGTCAGGGATGGTTTTTTAATCTATTGTATCCCCACACTAGAACAGGACTTGGCACATAGTAGTAGTCAATAAATATTTATTGAATGAATAAATTAAAGCAAATCCATCTTTAGAATCAATTTGAAAACTGGTAATACATCCATATTACCTCCTTGTGGTTAGTTTAGTGTAGCTAGAAGTCCTGCTATAGATTAAATTTAGAAACAGTCTTCTGCACTAGTGATAGA